TCCTTCCTTCCTTCCTTCCTTCCTTCCTTCCTTCCTTCCTTCCTTCCCTCCCTCCCTCCCTCCCTCCCTCCCTCCCTCCCATGGTGGAACAGTGGTTAGAATGCAGTATTGCAAGCTAACTCTGCCCACAGTCTGAAGTTTGATCCTGACCAGCTCAAGGTTGACTCAGCCTTCCATCCTTCTGAGGTCAGTAAAATGAGGACCCAGATTGTTGGGGGCAAGAGGCTGACTCTGTGAACAGCTTAGAGCAGAGGTCTCCAACCTTGGCAATTTTAAGCCTGGCGGACTTCAATTCCCAGAATTCCCCAGCCAGGCTTAAAGTTGCCAAGGTTGGAGACCCCTGGCTTAGAGAGGGCTGTAAAGCCCTCTAAAGCGGTGTCTAAGTCTTCTTGCTATTGCTAAAACCACCTTTTTAACTTAACCATGTTAAGTAACCAATTTATGGTTACAGCTCAGTTTGCTTTCTCAGGTCCAGCCGTAGAGTCCTGGGAAGGAGAGAGGGAGAAAAGGGAGGCTTAGATGGAATAATTTGTCTCTCCATGAAGGCCAATCTCCGGCGTTTAACTCCGCTTGTCAGAATTGTGGGAATAAATTAGTTTAGCTCTCCGACAGTGACTTTGAATAAACTCTTCTTGCACAGAAACTATGATTGTCATTCACTCTTCTTGTTTTTCTCAATACAGGACATATAGTCCCCCTTGTCATTCTCAAAGTCCTGTTAGGTAAGTTACGAAGGTCAGTGAAAAAGCTTTCACTGAGTAGAGATTCAAAACCGAGCTGTTTTTTTTTTCTTCCCTTTTCACCCCACCATTCATTCGGGCATGTAATTGTCACCTGTATGAAATTTAACGTCTTGCAACAAATGCTTCGGCCCACGCTTGTAATTTTTTTAAAAAAATGGAAATTATGCTAAAATAATCTCTCCTTCCTCTCCCCTCCACCTCTCCCTCACGGTGATGGGTATTTTCTTGTCTTGGAATAAAATAAAAACACTGATGTATCCAGGGGGAAAGAAATTCTGCTTAGTCCAGAAAAGAAGGTTTCTAAAAAAAACAAACGATTGTTCCTCTGTATTTCACATTCATCTCTTTCTCCTGCACTTAGAGAAAAAGAAAGAAGCCGCAGCCTTGGATAAACTTGAGACAGATAGCTAAATTATTGCTGAGAGGCTGGTGAACTTAATTCTCTCTGCCGTGGGAACATCTACAGTTTCTCACCGCAGTGGCATTGATTAAGTCCTGATGTTTGGGAAATAATTTGACCGAAAAGTTTGAAAAACAAACAGGACTTGGTGCTTTCCCACTGGGTATGATGACAAGCCCTCTAGTGCAATTCAGGAATCCTTTTTTGTTTTTGTTTTACAAAGAAAAATACCTTAAGGCCACCAGGCAAAGCTATTATTTTTTTGGCTTTGACTCTGCGTATCACCGGAACGCATATATTTGTTCAATTTTTATTTATTTTTTTTGCCAACCAAGTGACACAGGATGGTAAACCTCCTGCAGCTTATTCAACCACCCTTAGTCTGAACTCAGAGTCACGAAGGCTTTTTTTTTTTTTTAATTAATCTCAAAGCAGAAGCGGGACTTCTTGCTTTCAAACTGCTTCTTTTTTCTTTCTTTCCTTTTCTTTCCTTTTCTTTTTTTGCTAGTCTGAAGGATGACGACAGTGGTGATCATGACCAGAATGAAGAGAACAGCACACAGAAAGATGGTGAGAAGGAAAAAAACGATAAAGACAAAAGCCAGAACAGCACCAAGAGGAAGGTATGTCCCTTTCTTCTCTCTAGAGACTAGATCGAAGCACCTGCTGGAGTAGTTCTCAGAGAATGATCCTCCTCCTTCAAGCTGGCGCCCTCCAGATCAGTGGGAATTTGCAACCCTCAGTCCTTCTAACCAGCTCCCGGATCGTAGTCAGGGATTTGGAGGAGCTTCAGCTAAAACACTTCGACGGGCCTCCGTCAACCGTGGGCAAAATACAGGGAGTCCTCGACTTACATTTGAACCCAACATTTCTGTTCCTAAGTGAGATGGTTGGTAAGTGAGTTTTGTCCCCATTTTGTGTGACCTTCCTTGCCACTGTTGTAAAGTGAATCACTGCAGTGGTTAAGTTAGTAACATGGTTGTTAAGTGAACCTGGTTTCCCCATTGACTTTGCTTGCCAGAAGGTCGCAAAAGACTCTTGGACACTGGAACCGTCATATATATGAGTCAGTTGCCAAGCGTCTGAAATTTGGCCCTGTGATCTCAGGGACTTACAACCATTCACTGAACACTTGGCTGTTCAAAGTTACAGTGGCACTGAAAAATGATCGTTTTTTTTCGCCACTTAACGACCGTTGCAATATTCCCCTGACCGGTGCCTATGGAGAGTCTCAGTCGTTCCAGGTCACTTTCAAAAGGCAAGCTGGATTTTCTTTGTTTTTCTTTGAAGACCTTTCACTTCTCCTCAGAGAAGCTTCTTCAGTTCTGAACCCAACCAAAAAAGTCAGAACTGACGAAGCTTCTTGGATGAGAGTTTTTTTTAGTTTAGTTACTTGATCATCCTTGCACCTCGTACAACGAAATCAAACACCATCTTCAGGGCACATCATGACCATGAAAATCAACACAAACACACATCCTTCACACTCCACACATTGAATTGAAAACCCCCAACATCGCACCAACGCTACACTCGACAGTAAAATTCAAAAGAGCTACTGCCCTGGGATAGATGCTGTTTTTCAGCCTATTTGTCCTGGTTTTTATTATTTTGTACCGTCTGCCAGGTGGTAATAGTTCAAAAAAAGGGTTCCCAGGATGAGATGGATCTTGGAGAATGTTTTGAACTTTCTTAAGGCAGCGGGAGCTCTAAAGCCTCTTCCAAAGAGGGGAGAGGGCAACCCATGATCTTCTGGGCAATGACATTAACCCTCTGGAGCGCTTTCCTCTCTGCCGCTGTGCAATTGGCAAACCATACAGAGATGCAGTAAGTTAAGATACTCTCTATGGTGCAGCAGTAGAAGGTCACCAGCAGTTTTTCATTCACAGTTGTTGTTTTCTGAGAAACCTCAGGTGGTATAATCTCTGTTGGGCCCTTTTGACCGGGGCTCCAATGTTAGCACCCCCAGGTCAGGTCCCCTTTTAGGGTAACACCCAGAAACTTGAAACGAATTGTCTTCAAGAAAAAAACAAAGCCCAAGTCGCTTTTTCAAAAAGCACCTTTGGGATCCCCATGATCCTGTTATCCCAACTCAGACGCTTGTCAACTGACATGTATTTGTGACGGCTGCAGAATCCTGGAATTATGTCATCACCTTTTACGCTCTTTTCAACCCAGCAAAGTCAACGGGGAAGCCAGATTCACTTCACTTAAGAACCATGCCAAGAAAGGTCGCAAAATGGACCCAAACTCACTGAACGGCCGTCTTGCTTAGCAAACGGAAATTTTGGGCTCCTTTGTGATCGTAGGTCAAGAACACCCAAATCAGAGCAACTAGAACAGGAGGAGCCGGACACTTTGCAGGGAGAGAAATCTTAACCTTTAGTCTTTGTAACAGGGTGGGAAGGGTGACAAGGCTGCAGAAACGAACCACAGGGACCGATTCAAACTCAAAACCCCATCACTATCGAGATAGCTATTTGTTGAGCAGTGCAGGGAAGATAGGATTTCGGATTTTTAAGGGGACGTTTCTTCAAAAAAGCCATTATCATGGGGGAGAAAGGAAACTTTCCTTGTCTGAAGGCTTCTTTCCAGGAGCTTTCACTTTGCCTCGGTTTTGGGAAAGAATGTAAAACGGACCTTGAGCCATGGTGGCACAGTAGTCAGGATGCAGCATGGCAGGCGGACTCTGCCAATTGCCAGGAGTTCGATCCTGACCGGCTCCAGGTTGGCTCTGCCTTCCATCCCTTCCGGCGCAGTGGTTAGAGTGTAATACTGCAGGCTACTTCTGCTTACTGCCGGCTGCCTGCAATTTGGCAATTCGAATCTCACCAGGCTCAAGGTTGACTCAGCCTTCCGTCCTTCCAAGATCAGTAAAATGAGGAGCCAGATTGTTGGGGGCAAGAGGCTGACTCTATGAGCCACCTAGAGAGGGCTGTAAAAGTACTGGGAAGCGGTATATAAGTCTAAGTGCTTATTGCTATTGCAGGCTAACTCTGTTCACTGCCAGAAGTTCAGTCCTGACCAGCTCAAGCTTAATTCAGCCTTCCATCCTTCCGAGGTCGGTAAAATGGGGACCCAGATTGTTGGGGTCAGTATGCTGACTCCGTAAACTGCTTAGAGAGGGCTGTGAAGCACGGTGAAGTGGTATATACACTTTCCCTGAAAATACAACCTATCCTGAAAATAAGTCCTAGCTTGATTTTTTTTTACACATGTGTCTCATATAAGCCCTACCCCCCAAATAAGCCCTAATTAAGATCCCACCCACTTTAGAATGAACGGGTAAAAATTAAGCCAGGGTGGGGATGCGGGGTGGAGTTGCTCTGCTACTTACCTTTGGACAGTTGTAGCCAGGCCTCGCACACGCCAACACCTGCCTTGCCAGCCCATTTCTTCTGCAGCCAGCAAGGTTGGCAAGGCTTTCCTGAAGGCCTCTGTAGGTGATAACAAAGCTCTGGATCGATCCAGAGCTCTATTATCAGCTGCAGAGGCCATCAGAAAAGCCTTGCCGGCTGCAGAAGAAGAAGCCCCTGAAGGCCTCTGACAGCGAAAAGGAGGCTGGGCGGGCGACGTGCACAAGTGAGGTTAGTCAGTGGATGACATCCCCTGAAAATAAGACCCGGTGCCTTTTTGGGTGGCAAAACAATTATAACACAGGGTCTTATTTTCAGGGAAACACGTTAAATCTTAAGTGCTATTTTGCTATTTTTGATTCCCCCTTTATTAGTTGGGAACTGTACTTCCGACTTCGCCTAGTCAGGAAATCTAAAAAAACGAGCGGTTACCGTGGTTTGCTTAGAAACCTTCTGTGGCGCTTGTCAGACCAAGTCAATCCCATCTGCTCCCTTTGCCAAGAGAGGGAAACAAATTCCTCGTTGCCTCACAAGGTTGTTTTCATTTAAGAGCTGTTCTCCTCCAACCAGGGGCACGTCAAGGCATGTAGGCAGCGGCCTTGTGCAACGAGCCGCTTTTAAGGAACACAAAATCACCTCTCTTTTGCCAATTTGGAGAAACTCCAGCGAAGCAGCGAGTGCCGCTAATCTCCGCCTTGGAAGTATAGTCCATTTCTGGCAAACTAATGGTCTGTTTCGAGCTATGAAGAGAGATGGAATTTCAGGAACAAAATAAAAAACTGAAACTGTTCTGGGCTGGCAGGAACAAGCCAGGTTGCTAAATGCTACGAATGTCTCTTTTAGAGAAAGGCGTCGGGATAAAAATGAGCGTTTGAAATTTCACCCAACAGGCTGCAGTTCCAGGACCAGCTGAGCACCCTCTGCAGTATAACTACACCTTCTGGTACTCCCGACGGACACCGGGGAGACCCACCAGCTCCCAGAGTTATGAACAGAACATCAAGCAAATTGGCACTTTTGCCTCTGTGAGTGCATTTCGGCTGCGTGGTTCCGACGAAGCATGAGTGGATGGGATAGCCATCCCAAGGGGAAAAAAAATTAAGAGAAATGCTGTGATTGTTTCGGTCACCACGGTGTAAAAAAGAGGTCGAGACTCTAGAAAGAGTGCAGAGAACAGCAACAAAGAGGATTAGGGAATTGGAGGCTAAAACATACGAAGAACGGTTTCAGGAACTGGGTATATAGTCCAGCAGTGGCTAACCTTTTTGGGGGTCCTGTGCCAAAAATTATGTGCGCGCTTGTGCGCTAGTACTCGCATGCCAGCACCCAGAAGGCATTGCGCACACGCCTCCCCCCCCCCGTGTGCATGCACGCATGGTTTCCCCCCCCCCCCCCGCCATCACCCCCTTACCTGCACTGCGCCTCCCAGATGATTTTCGGCATGTTTGAGGCCTTTTTCGGCCTGCCAGAGGGTTGAGGGAAGCCTCTGCAGCCTTTGCAGGCTGTAAAATAGGCCCATTTCATCACTTCTGGTATTTCCTCTAATTGCAAAAGGGTTTCTCCTCTTACTACAGAGATAATAGAAGGAGAGACCTGTTAGCCTGCAAAAAAAGCAAAAAACAAAACAGGAGTCGGGTAGCACCTTTTCCAACAAACTATAATTTTTATTAAAAGGCACTTCTTCAGTGTTTCTCCATTGTCTGCAGCTTTTATGGGGTTTGATCTGCGCAAGATGCTCAAGTTTTATTTTGTAAAGGAAGGTTAAATCGATGGGTAAAACCTGCTTTCATCCGAGTTGTATTTGTTGCCTTACCATTTTTATGATAGCTGACAAATGTTTCTGCGGGGTGCCCAACCAATTTGCACTTTTCCACGACCTCTCAGCCCTACTGTATATAATCAGTGTCAACTAGGAAAAAAAAAACCTCCTTTGGTCTTTTTAGTTGCCAGCAGAAAGGGAGTGGGGGGGAAACTGTGCATTCCTTAAATGCCTCAGATAATCGCCTTGGCAGCCGAAACTGTTGGCATGCAAGATTATTACTGGAGAGCATGATTGATGACTCTTGGCTATGGATGCGTCCCATTGACTCACAGATGAACACTATACAGAAGCCTGATGATGGCAGATGAGATTCTGCTGAAACGTCGCTACAACTTTAAAAGCACAACTACTATGACGTGGGAAAATACCTGAGCAAAGCCGAATGCCATACACACACACACACACACACACACACACACACACACACACACACCTCTGCTGGACTCTTTCGATTTCTCCCATTTTTCCTTCTTTTAGGAAGTGTTTGGGTTTCAGAATAACGGAATAACAGAGTTGCAAACAACCTTGGTCATCTTCTAGTCCAGGGGTCACCCACCTTTCGGACCTCAGAGACCACTAAATTCATAATTTAAAACCCCCATGGACCACAAACATGAATTTTTAAAACAGAATAAATAGTATTTAGTGCAGTGTAAAAAATGCAAAATAATTTTTCGCTGGACCACCAACATTTTGGTGATCACTGGTTAGTGGCCGTTGTTTTAGTCCAACCCCCCTGCACAAGCAGGAAACTCTATAGCAGTGGTTCCCAAACTTTTCCAGTCCACTGCCCCCCTGGTGCTACAAACTCATCCTCAATGCCCCCCACCCAGGGGTGGGATTCAAATTTCTGTGGGCGTGGCCTAATTTGAGGGTGTGGTTTGCTGGTAGCGTGACTGGGCGGGCAAGGCTTGCTGGTCACGTGACTGTTGGCGTGGCTTGTTGGTCACGTGACTGGGTGGGTGTAGCTTGCTGCTCACTTGACTGGATGGGCGTGGCTTGCTGGTCCCATGACTGTTGGCATGGCTTGCTGGTCACGTGACTGGGTGGGCGTGGTTTGGTGACTGGCAAACCAAATACAAGTGATCCTCACTCAATGGCCGGTTGCTGAGCAAGTGTTCTAATTTATGACTGGCCTCCCCAGAACTACTTGACCTGTTTTTAGTGTTTTGACAGCCATGCACACACATATGCACTTATACACGCATCAGCTTGAAATGAGGCCTAGTTTAGAGGCCCTTTTCCACATTGAAACATCTTTGCCAGCATCTTTGCCTGCGCATTAAAACATCTTTGGCTTCTGTAATTAAAGGTTTTGTGGACGAAACATGGCCAAGACTATCAGGAAGCTCTCACATTTTGTTGAGGCTTTAAACGGGATCCATTGGACCAGACCTCCACCCTAAAAAATTACTTTTCCCCAATGTATTACAGTGCCAATTCTGAAGAAGGCAAAACCAAAATGTACTGGTAAATTACAAGGAGAACACAGACACACACACGCACACACAGACACACACTCCCTTTTAACCCTGCTGGAGCAGGTGATTGGACTAGAATAGATATCTCATTATCTTTCTCCTCCCTCCCTCCTTCCTTTATTTCTTTTTCTTTCTGTCCCTTCCTTCCATCCCCCCCTCTTTGTCCCTTTTCCTTTCTTTCCCTTTTCTCTTTCTCTTCCTTCCTTCTCTCTCTCCCTCTCTCTTTCCCTCTCTCAGGCTCACCCCATTGACTTCGTACACTGCTCCCTTCGGACTTGCTTGGGCAGGTGCCTCCGGTGCAAGGGGCTCAACGGGGTGATCCTGTGGGGCCTCACCTCGAACGCGGCGGTGGCGGGATTTTTTTTTCTCACCCCTGAATCGTGCCCTGCCGCTCACCTCCAGCGCCCCCCCTACCAGCCCCCTTGCCTCTCAGCACCCCCCCCAAGGCATCCCACCGCCTTAGGGATGGCGGTACCGCTCACTTTGGGAACCACTGCTCCATACCATTTCAGACAAATGGTTACTCAATCTCTTCTCAAAAACTTCCAGTGTTGGAGTATTCACAACTTCTGGACGCAAGCAAGTCGTTCCCCTGAGTAATTGTTCCGTGAGGAAATTTCTCCTTAGTTCCAGGTTTCTTCTCTCCTTGATTCTTGATCCTTCCATTGCTGCTTCTTCTGCGTTCAGGTGCTTTGAAAAATAGGTTACCCGCTCTTCTTCGTGGCCACCCCTCTAATACCGGAAGGCTGCTATCATGTCACCCCCTAGTCCTTCTTTTCCTTAAACTAGCCCAGGGGTCTGCAACCTTAAACACTCAAAAAGCTATTTGGGCCCGTTTCCCACAGAAAAGAAAACACCGGGAGCCTCAAACTCTGGGTGGGCGTGGCCAACTCAATGTCACTCCCATTCAGTCACATGACTCCCCCTGACACGCCTGCTCAGGTTTTGTGGTTCGCGGTGTTTTCTGTGGGAAATGTTTCTCTCTCTCTCTCTCTCTCTCTCTTTCTCTCTCCCTCTCTCTCCCTCCCTCCCTCTCATTTCTGTTTTTTGTGTTTTACCTTCTCAAGCCAGGCGAGAAGGGACCGGGAGGGAAGGGTGAGGGGCGGGGCCAGCCAGTGGTGGGATCGCCCAACAGTGAGCCACAGCAGAGGGCCCAAAGAGCTGCATGCGGCTCCAGAGCTGCAGGTTGCTGACACCCGAACTAGCCCTAGCCAATTCCTGCACATCATTCTTCATGTATTTCAGCCTCCAGTCCCCTAATCGTCTTTGTTGCTCTTCTCTGCACTCTTCCCAGAGTCTCAACCTCTTTTTTAATATCGTGGCATTACAAGGTTTCTGTTCCTCTTAGATTGTGTTTGATTTGTTGGAAAAGGGCGTGGGCCAGAACAATAAGTCACTTTTTTTCCCATTGCCTTTGTAACTTTGAAAAGTGGCTAAGTGAATGGTTGTTAAGTCAAGGACGAACTGTACCATATTTTGATATATTAACCGTGGAAAATTCCAGAAGGCAGATCCAGGAAGGTGGTGTAGCTGCTTACAGAACCAGAATTGTGTGGAGATAAACGGTTCAGTCAACCAGCCGTATTGGGATTTTTATGGGGATTCTTATCATAGATGGATGGCGACGCTTACGAAACCAGATGAATTCAGCATCTGTTATCTTTTTTGTCCGACTGGGATAACAGAATCGTTGTTTAATGCAGCCAGATTTTCTGTGATACTTTGTAGAACGGGACGGCAGTTAACAGCTGATTAATTTCCAGTGTTTTATGTGGGTTGTATAATAATGATGATGATGTTGATTTTGTTTTTGTTTTTTCTTGGACTGTTTTAATCTTTAAACCCAGTAAAAGAGTAGAATAGAATAGAATAGAATAGAATAGAATAGAATAGAATAGAATAGAATAGAATAGAATAGAAT